TGGACTGGGCGTTGCAAGCTGCTGGCTTAGACTGAGTCAACTGAAATTGAATCTGATGAAGATGGAGGTCCTGTGCCTGAGTTGGGGCGATCTATGGGTAGTCATTCCACTCCTGACCTTTGATGGGGTACAGTTGGTGCCAGAGCTGGAGGTTAGGAGCTTGGGAGTGCTATTGGATGCCTCCTTAACAATGGAGGCCCAGCTGGCAGCCACTGCCAGGTCACCCTTTTATCATCTTCGGCTGACTAGGCAATTGGTTTGCTTCTTCGAATGCAACGACTTGGCAACAATGATCACCTCAAGGTTGGACTACTGTAATGCTCTTTACATGGGGCTGCCCTTGTCTCAAATCTGGAAGCTGCAACTAGTGCAGAATGAAGTAGCCGGGCTGCTGATGAGTATTCCCATGTGGGAGAACATCGAGCCCGTACTGAAGGCACTGCACTGGTTGCCAATAGCATACCGGATTCGCTTCAAGGTGCTGGTTTTAACCTTTAAAGCCCTATATGGCCAGGGTCCGGCATATCTGAGGGAACACCTTTCCCCACATTCTCTAGAGAGCACTGCATGCGGGGGCGCAAAATCAGTTGGCCCTTCCAGGCCCCAAGGATGTCAGACTCCTGCAGCAATCAGTTCCCAACAGCTTTCATTCAAAGAAGTAAAGTTTATTGAGACATTGAGAGTATGCAGATATCTAAACGCTTTTGTATTAGAACTGGCTTAAAGCACGCAAAGCAAGCTGATATACATTATCCAAGGGGGTTCCCTGATGGCTCAGAGGCCAGGTAGAATCCCACCAAAGTAACGGGCAACAATTCTCAGGAGAAAAGTACACCAGACACTCAAAGTCGAAGGCTTCGGTTACATAGATAAAGAAAGACTGGAATCACAGCAGAAACAAAAGTTATAATTCCAGCATTCCCCCTCACACCCATGGCAGCTAGAATAGCCAGAGGCCTAGCTGACAAAGGATGCCAGGCTGGCAACAACCAGGGCCAGGGTCTTCTTGGTGGTGGCTCCATCCTGGTGGAATGAGCTCCTGAAAGAGATCAGGGCCCTGGAGGACCTTTTACAGTTCCGCAGGGCCTGCAAGATGGAGCTCTTCCACCAGGCATTTGACTAAGGAGCCACATCATGCACTGAGGAGTTTCCCTTATCCTGTACCTGCTGCACTACAAAGTGATTAAACTGAGCTGGTGTGTATGGGAATTATATGGTCACCTAAGGCATATGATAAATAATTTTGCTCCTGTTCTCTTAATAACGTTCCAGCAGTTTTTACTGCATTTAACTGTTTTAACTATATTTTAAATAATTGGTATTTATGCTTATGATAATATATTATGATTCGTTTTAATTGTATTTTATGAGATGTCTGTAAGCTGCCCTGAGCCCGCCTTTGGCAGGGAAGGTGGGGTATAAAATAAATAAATAAATAAGGCAATTGGTCAGACCTGTGAATAGCAGCAAATTAGCAAACAGCATAAGAAAGGAGTTCACGAGGGAAGAGAGAGGATCCAGTAAAATATTATGAGCATAACACAGTCTTCCTGATGGGAGGTTTCATTACTCATTTAGTAAGGGAGAGATCCAGGGAAAACTGGTGCAGGAAAGGCAGAATAGGTAGGAATCTGTGGCAACTGGCATACCTTTTTCTTTTAAAATTGTTACTGGTTTGGGTATTTTTTTTACTTTTACTTCTTACTGTTTTTACAGCCTAAGTCATGAACAGCAAACCCTCAACCCATGGGAGGAGAACCTAAAAGTTAGTTATGGTGTAACTTAACAACAGTTGCCAAAAATTTTGCCACACACAGAGCGGTTTGTTTATCTTTGTCTCTGAGTAGCCAGGATGATTTCACCTCTGGAGAAAGAGAGTTCTGATTAAATAATGGGGAGATCAATTGAGCTCTTAGTTTTGAGAATTTAGGAGAAGAAGAAGAAGAAGAGTTTGGATTTATACCCCGCCCTTCACTACCCAAAGGTGTCTCAGAGTGGCTTACAAACTCCTTTCTCTCATAATTGAAGTCCCTAAGACGTCTTCTAGTGAGCTGGGTCAATTCTTATTTATTTATTATATTTATATCCTGCCCTCCCCGCGAACGGGCTCAGGGCGGCTTACACTTTTGGCACCATGTGCCTGGTCATATAAAACATTTAAAAAACAGTTAAAACCAACATATTAACAATTAAACAATTAAAGTGCTCGGAGCTGTGATTGTTCAATAAGTTAAAGGTGGCGTGCTATAAAATGTAATGCTGAAGTCCCAAATCAGCGGTGTTCTGGCCTCTCACGAACCTGTAGCTTGATCTCCACGCAGGGCCGGCCTACTACCATAGATGTTAATAGTAATAATAGTTGGTGGTAGTGGTGGGTGGCTCCTAGTTGCACAAGGTCCCACAGGGCCCTGATCTCCAGGAGCTTGTTCCACCAGAGAGGAGCCACCACTGAAAAGGCCCTGGCCCTAGTAACAGCGAGCCTGGCATCCTTAGGACCTTGACTACTCATTGTTTCCATTGCGTCCTGGGTAATACCCAGGTAAGACAATTTGTGATCCAGTAGTCCAGTTTAATTAGTCCAAGGAAGCTTGATTCTGGATTTGATTTTAATATCCTAAATTTCAGATTAAATGCTCTTCCCCAGGCCTTTGCTTCAAAGGATATCTCTCCAACTTCGGCTCTCAGAGCTATTCCAGAAACACACTGAGGAACTCCTATGATATTGTGCAGGAATCTTAGTAGTGCTTTATCAATATTGTCTGTTACTTCTCTAATCCAGATCCCAGCAGCATATAGCATTTGCCCAACAACTCCACTGGTGAATACTTTAACCTCCATAGGAACATATTAGCCTCCAGAGGAATAGTAGAATCTTGAGATGGCCTTCCCAGTATTCAAAGCAGCTCTTACAACAGAGTTCAGGTGTACCTTCCAAGAAAGATTTGTTTGAAAAATAATTTCTAAATTTCTAAATTTGAAAGGGTCCACCTGCTGCACAGGTTGATCTGCTACTGCCCATTTGTATTTCTTTACCCATCATTTTTTGCTGAAGAGAAGAACCTTTGATTTATTAACGCTGATATCTAAACTCTCATTGGAGCAGTACTCCACAAAGAAACCTATAAGCTGAGAAAGGCTGACCACAGATCTTGACAGGAGAGTGGTATTGTCTGCATATAGGAGACAGGGTAGTTTGACATGAGCCGGGTGGGGTGAATGAAATTCATATCTGGGAATATGAGGAATTAAATCATTAAGGTACACATTAAATAACGGGGTAAGGATGTATCCTTAACTCCTCTGCTCAATGGAATGGTCCTGGTCAGTTCACCAGAAGAGCCAGATCTCACTTTGGCTGTAGGCTGGTCATATAGTTGTTCAATCAAAAATAGGAGATACTTGTCAATAGATAAGTTATTCAATTTGTCACATAGTCTTTGCCTAGGCACTAAGTCAAAGGCTGCTCTGAGGTCCATGAAGGCAGCAGCCAACAATCCATCTTTTGAGCTAGTATACTTGTCAACAATGAATTGGAGAGTATGATAATGATCAACTGCACTGGATCCTCCGTGGAATCCTGCTTGCTCTCTGCCCAGGATGGCTTCTTCAATCCAGGGAAGTAACTTCTCATATAACATGGAAGCGTATAATTTGCCCACCATTGATAGTAGACTTATGGGCCAGTAGTTATTTGGGTCTGTTGGATCACCTTTTTATGGATGGGGACTATTACTGCATGTTGCCAAGTGGAGGGCAGAATTCCTGTCTTATTAATTTGTATAAATATTGGTGCCGGAATCTCTGCCCACCAATCAGGATTTGCTTTAAGCAGCTCTGCGTGAATCAGCTGAACACTTGGTGCCTTCCCAGATTTCATTTGAGATATTAAAAGTTTAATTTCCAGTACTGTGACCAGGGGCCAGGTTCGGGTATTTACTGAGGCTAAAGAACACAGGAGCAGAAGAATAGCAATCTTAACTGATACATATAGTTTATTCTGATAAATAGTTTATTTGAAATAGATGATGAGATGAGATGATGAGATTGGATTTATACCCCGCCCTTCACTACCCAAAGGTGTCTCAGAGTGGCTTACAAACTCCTTCCCCTTCCCCTCCCCACAACAGACCCCCTGTGAAGTAGGTGGGACTGAGAGAGCTCTTGACAGAAACTGCTCTTTTTCAAGAACAGCTCTTATCAGAGCTACAGAAATAAAGAATGTATGTTTTCTAGGTACTCTTTTCTAGGAAAGCCAAAAGTTTCTCTGCAATCAGGAATTATAATTTTCATTATTAATGTATTATATTTTACCCCATCCTTCCTCCAAGAAATTAAGGGCAATGTATATGGCTCCCATCCATTTCATCTTCACAACAACCGTGTGCTGAGACAGGATGACTGGCCCTAGGCCAGTGGATTTTGTGAAATTTGAATCCAGGTCCAGTCTGTGATCCTGAAAAATTCTATTCCTCTCTCTCCTAAAACAAACTCACAGTGTGAGTTTCAAAATTCAGTGGTGTTTTTTTTGGTTGATCCTTTTAAGTTACGTTTAGCTCTGTTCAATAGGCCATCTAACCCAGCCCCATTATCTTTAAAGAGAAAATAGACTAATTAAACCATTCCTTACGGAGCATCTAATCTAATTGAAAAAATATTGCCTATGGTCAAATTATGGTTTGATAACAGGAAGCCAAAACTGGGTGATCTAATACCAGAGATAATTGAAAATCACATGTAATTTCCCAATGCAGTCAGATACAAGATTGTTCATGGCTTCTGGAATCCACTGTGTAATAGTGTACCTTTTTCCTGTCTGAAAAGCTGCTTTCTGCCATTACTAAAGTCCATACAAAATGTTGCAAAGTATTGATCTGCAGTCACTGCTGGTGTTGTTGTTTAAGGAATTACTCTTGAATATCATCGTGCTGTCTTCCGTTTTTCATTTTGACCTGCACATTCTGCCCTCTGTTCCCTTTCTGCTTGCCCTCTCCTTCCTGCAGTGGCAGGCCATTTCTCTGACTGTCATTGAGAAAGTTCAAATAGCAGCAGCCATCTTGGGTTCCCTATTCCTTATTGCCAGTATCTCGTGGCTTATCTGGTCAACCTTCAGTCCTTCTGCTAAATGGCAGCGCCAAGACCTGCTCTTCCAGATCTGCTATGGAATGTATGGCTTCATGGACATTGTCTGTATAGGTAGGTGAATAACTCTCAAAGTTACTATAAGATACAGCCAGGTGAATTTTTTCATCAGAAAGAGCTGGGTGATGGGATGTGTGAGAGAGAAGTGGGGAGAGAGAGGGGGGGTGAGGGCACAGTGGTAGTTTCTTTGACAACTTTCAAGGAGTTGCCATTTTTGTATGTTGTATATTCAGCAAAGAAGATTAATTGTCTGATCCAACAGAAATCATTGGGGCAACCTAAGAATCTACCTGAATAACAGGCAACCATTCAAGTTAGTCCTGTTATGGATATTTGCCAGTACTTTGGTATAGAAATTTTTAGCTGTTCCTGAGAATGATACTGAACCATTAGTTCTCCATCTCCAACACTGTGTTACAAATATTTTGAATAAACTTTCTTTTTGAAAAAAAAAATACTGAACCATTAGAAATACAAAACTGTTGCATATTCTATGTCAGGGGTGTCAAACATAAGGCCTGGGGGCTGGAAATGGCCCACCCAGGGCTCTTATGCAGCCCGTGAGCAGCTAGTGCAATGGAAAGAACAGGAGACTGCTCAGGGGGAGTGGGCAGAGCCACTCCAATTGTGGCTTCGGCATGGCAGGACAACCTCATCTGCAGCAGTCAAGCAGCACGGGAGCATCTGCCCAGTGCTGCACTACTGGCTCTCCAGTCCACCCATGTGGGTTTTCCTTTGGACCCCCCTCCCAGCCCACGGGGCCTTGCAGTGAGGATACACCAACTCAGAGCTCACCAGCTGCTGTCCTTCATACAGTTTTATCTCCAGTACCTGGCATTACGTTTTATGGCACACATGGCCCAGCCCAACAAAGTGACATTTATGTCAGATCTGGCCCTTGTAAGAAAGGAGTTTGACACCACTGTTCTATGTTGTGCCTCTCATTGATATTTCAAGGAAAATACCAAAGGTCAAATTTAGATTTGTTGATTTGTTTTCAGTTTATTTTACAATCTGATGCTTAGATGAAGTATTCTGTGTCAAAGTAAGAATGAATTCAAAAATATTTGATGTCAAAATTGAAAATCAGCTCATAACCTAAAAATTTGGAATTAACTTTAGCATTTTATTGATCCAATAACCTGTAAGCACTTCCCTAATATTTGTCACAGGAGACATTAGTTACCTCTGAGCTGCTGCCTCTTCTAATCATGGATGCCTTGTTCTTCATGGTCTGACACATATGGCAGAAGCGATATGAGATTCTTCTGCAAAGGACAGCAGAATGATTTGTCTTGGTGCCTACCTCTACACTAGAAGTTATCAGTGGACTCTCCCTTTTGCCAGTGTTGTGCATTGGTAACATAAATGACTGGCTAGAAATGCTTCTGTTTTTGGTTTTCACCAAATGAGGCATTGATTTGGACAAATGAGGTGCAGTGATCTTTGACTAGATAGCAATTCCATGGACTCTTAAGTAGGTCTCCTTGCTACTGGGTGGGTCCTCTAACTAGTCTATAATGTCCCAGGCCTAAATGGTACAGATTCTGGTGTAAATATAAATAAATATAAATATCAACCAGACTACAGTAACTCTGAAGGGACAAATTGATTTGACATCAGACAAATTTATGAACCTAAACACAGAAGAAGCCACAGCTGAGGTTATAATACAATATTACTATTATATGTGATCTCTTAGACAGTAAGATTCATGAAGTGATTATAATGTAATATTTGTAAATAAAAAACATATGCGTATTGAAGAGCTGCTGAGCTCACAAACTTAAAAGATGTTTTGTTGCAGTAACACAAAGTTGCAGTTACAGTGGATAAAATTATATATAATGTGGATCTGTTCTCATGTACTTAACTGTGGCACATCATGCTATGGCTTTTTGGAAAGGTGAAAGAATAAGCTACAATTGTCTAATGCACTTCAGGTGACTATCTGGATTAGGTAACGTTCTATATGCTGTAAACCTCATAAAATGTTGAAAATTTGATTTAGGCCATATATCATAAAAACAGTAATAGACAGAGGCATTTTTTGGTATTAGTTACTTGTATGGCAATTTATTAGCTTTCCAACTGTGCCTTAAAATTTGAAATTTTTACTCATTATCGCTCATATTGGAAAAGGTAAGAAAAATTTATTTGGCCATCTTGATGACATCATAAAAAGATTAAGCTACCAATCAGAACAGGTTAACACATCAAAACATAAAGCATAGAAATACACCTTTTTGTAAAACTTAAAGAAGTTTTGACACTTCACCTAATACTGACATCTAGTCTGGCCCACAGACTATATAGGTTGAGTCAAAAATACCTCTGTGTGTGTATGTGTGTGTGTGCGTGTGTGTGTATGTGTGTGTGTGTATATATATATATTCCACAAATCATCCTCTCCACACACCCCATAGCCAGTTGGAACACAGAGGTCGTTTGCATATGTGGCCTGATTAGCCCTCGCTCCAATATTCTAAACAGTTTGCTGTTGCTGTTGGAAGTCATTGAATGTGTCCTGAGGTAAAATACATATCCCAATCTTACCCTAAACATTAACTGGGGTTGCCAATCTATCGGTGAGGCCTGGAGATTTCCTGGAAATCACCATGTTCCCCAGCCACAGCACATCATTTCCCCTACTGAAAATTTTCCAGCTATTACAACTGATCTCCAAATGACCAAGATCAGTTCTCCTGGAGACAATGGCTGCTTTGGGCAGTGGACTCTATGGCATTATACCCTGCCATTATCCCCCCACTCCAAATCCCCAGGCTCTACCCCTCAAATCTACAGGTATTTCCCAATCCAGAGCTGGTAACCTTGTAACAGGCTATGGAACTGCTTTCCAGAACCTTGGAATCCAGAAAACATGGCATAGGAGGAGGTGCTTTTCTATTTTAGCTGCCACTGCATAGCCCCAAATCAACATAAGTCAGGGGTGGAGTGTGGGAAAGCAGTGCAATCTCCTGCCTGGAGATTGGTAACCCGAAAGTATTTGTGTGCTAAGAGAAGTCTGGTGACTGCCTAACTACGCAGTCAGTTAGCCTTGAGAAAGGGGGAGAGGCAGATAGCAGACAGCTGCCTGAAAACACACACACTTACACACACATTCCAAAAGGATGCTCGAATGTTTGTAACTCCCTTACGGAGGGAGAGGGAGGGAGAAGGGGGAAGAAAGGTGTATAAATAAACGCTGGGAAGCCGAGAGGTTTCAGACAGTTCCTGCAAGCTTGTATCCTGTCGTCTTTGCTTCGCCTGCACCCCCACACCCCAAGGAGCAGTACCACAGTGGAGGGAACCATGCCTGTTACCATGCGGCTCTTGGGGCAGCAAAATGACTTGAGATAGCCCTACCTTATAGCTAAGCAGAAGGAAATAAACATGGTTCACCTCCCTCTATTATCCCCTTCCTTCCACCGCTCCACCAGCCACAGCTGGGACAGTCACCTGCAGCCATCCATCCAAAGCCTTTTATTGGCATATACATGAAAATACAGTAATACAGTAATCTAAATACAAAATCTTGCAGAATAAAATGAGATTTGCAGAGTAACATCATAGAGTAACATCATAATAAGAGCAGCATCATAGTAAAACCTAATTCATAGTATCACTTATCAGGCCGTGAGACCATGGCACCGCAAAGAAACTTTGCTACTATTTCAGTTATTTCTGTATCTGGATTATCAAGCAAGAAAAGGAGTTTAAAATCATCAGGGCTCTAAAAATTGGGCTAATATGGGATATAGAAGATCCCGACGGGACTCCAGATAGAGAGGGCACTGGAGGCGACAGTTTCAACACAGTCCTTCATACTAGGACAGCACCTGCTAGGATAGGAAATCCCTTGGAATCTGCCAGATAAGATAGTTGAAGGAGGAACATTAAATCTAGGCAAGGATATGGCTCTACGCAAATTTGGAGCTGTGAGTTGATAGAGGTATACTGCTGGAAGGTTTGCATTAGGAACAATCCCCAAATTTAAGGGAGAACAGGTTCTGTTAGCCAGGCTATAAAGAGTTTGTAACTTTGATCCCAATAAACTAGATTTTATTTTTAAAAAGGCCTACAACTCAGAAAGCATAAATAAGGATTCTAGAGATAAATTCAAGGAACTTATTTTGGCTTCATTGTAAGATAGGCAGCTGGAATTAATAGATTCAGAAAGTAGTTGGTACGTATAATTGAAGGGGTCAGAGTTGAAATGGAGTCGTAACCAAAATTTAATAGTGTGGATCCATACCTTAGTAGCCAACAAATTCTGACCACATTCCAAACATAAAGTGGCATATAGAACACACATAGGTACCCCCATGATCTTTCGCAGAAAGGTAGAGTGGACACGTTCAACTGAAATGTCCATTGCATCAATCCAGAGAGGTACCCATACAGTAATTGAGCTCCAGTTTTAGCACTGAAGGCTTTTAAGTGCAGCGGGCACATACTGGTTACCTTGAACAGAAAAATAAAAGCGAGATATTGCTGCAGCACTAACTTTAGCTACATTAATAGCCATTCTGCAATGGTAGGTCTAAGTACCATTAGATTTGAAATAGATGCCCAGCTATTTGAAGTGCTTAACCTGTTCAAGTTCGTTGCCATTAATAATCCACTTATAAGTTTTTCGGGAATAGGGAACGACTAACACCTTTGATTTGTCATAATTCAGATCCAATCTGTTAATCACGCAATATTCATGGCAACGGTTCAGTAAATGGTTTAATCCAACACAAGAAGTAGACAAAAGAACCGTGTCATTTGCATATAATAATAAAGGAATAAAAGAAGAGCCAAGTCTAGGGCTATGACCATCAACAAATGACAAAAAGGGGGCAAGGTCATTTTTAAAAAGGTTAAACAGATGGGGGGCTAAAATGCACCCCTGCTTTATCCCTTTCCTAATACAGATATTGGGGGAAAGTCTCCCAGACGAAGAACACCTGACCTGACAGGATGTGGAGGTGTGAAGTATTTTAATAAGAAATAATAACCTCTTATCCAAAGACATCCCTTCAAGCTTTACCCAGAGAAGTTCCCTTGAA